ATGTAATGATGTCTGTAGCTATTTAAACTGCTTCATTGTATACTGAAGGCACCATCGAATAATTCAAGGATTTTATTTGTTTCTTTCTCTAAAATTTTAGTACGTTATTCCACCCCCTGTTATCTTTTCAGGTTCTTACTTCCCCTGTTTATTCCCGTTGTTGGATGGATAGTGATGCTTAGAGTTTGTAGTATTTAACTCTTTATGACAATGTGGAAGTCTTGAAAGTTGCTTTATCTTTGATATTTTCATTTTTGTTTGATTCAGGGGTAGGAATAATAAAAAGATCAAATGTTTAGGCAGAGAATTGTACTGTAGTTGTTAAGTTTTTGGTTTCACTGTTTGTAATGCTTCTGATGTTCCTTTAGCTTTTGCTCATTCTTTATTAGCTTTGTAGATTGGTCAATTGATGAGTGGGGATAAAAGGAATTAATTTAAAGTTTGCTTTGTCCATGCATCTGGTAACCCTATAGCCCACAAAGAGTTATGGTTTTCGGTGTTGGTAGATCATTAAATTGAAATATAGAATAGTGATTTGAGTGCCTGCTTGCCCATTTTCTGTCACTGTTGGAATCTTTAGTTCTTGAGGTATAAAGTTTGCACTCTCATGGTTTAACTAAGCGCCAGAAATTTTACGGAGATTGACGTGCAACTATGAGACAGTTGATGGCCGTGGCTCTTTGTTTTGACAAACATGCTGGATGGTTTTAAACTTTTGTTGCTTATTCCCGGATGCTGTTCAATTCATTTCCTAAAAAACTTCAGTAGTGATTTTTATAAAGTTTAAATTGTGTAATATAGAAGCTTTCTATTCGACGTGAGAGTGGGGTGCAAACCAAATTTCAAAATGACACTACATCCTAAACATTGCTTTCGTAAACTGAAGTTTGGTATTATTTATCTTTCTTTTCCCCACCTGTTTTGTTTTTTTTTGAATCAACTAACATAATCATTTATCCTTTACTTGAATTATATTTCATATTTATTCTTGTATTTGCTTACTTGTTTATTTATTGTCTTTACCATTTAACTTAAATAACATTGCCATTCGATTAAGTTGAACTAATTTCTACATGATTTGCATAATTATTTTTCAAGAGTAACAAACGACGGTATTTCCATAATCATAGTTTTAAAGCCAACCAAACTTCTATGTTTCTTTCTGATATGCTAAGAATGTTGTATAGTTTTTATGCTTATATAGTTATATCACTTCCTATGGTATCTCCCTCCCCTCTGATGCACATGCTTTCGTGAATATCTTGTATTGCTACTACATTTTCATAACATATATCTAAAAACATAATAAGTGTGAATGAAAGTTATACCCCTGATTTATGTCCGTTTTTTCCGTTAAGTTTTGTTGTACATTATGCTATAAAGGTTGTACATTAAAATATTTTGGACAAACATACCCTACCGTTATAACTTCCGTTATCTTTTACACTATTGTTACCATGCACATGCATCCACCATATAATTTCTTATCTTCTTCATTAATAATAATATATACACATTAAATATTTGGGTTATATGTTAATTATTACATAAATATAAATATCAAATTTATAAAAATGATTTTCATTATTATTATTATTATTTAGAATAATTTAAATATCTAAAATCTAAATAAATTTAAAATTTTAATATAATGTATTAATATTGGGCACCTATTTTTTGCGCATCGCGCATAAAAATACTAGTATATATATATATATATATATATATATATATATATATATATATATATATATATATATATATATATATATATATATATATATATATATATATATATATATATATATATATATAATATTTTTTTCAGAAATGGAATCTCACATTTTAATCCCTCAAATCACAACTGAGATAAAACAATGGAGTTGTAAAGTTTGTGTTATTGAAAAGTTGAACACAAGAGAGTCAAAGACCAAACCTATAAACTTGTACAAACCTATAACATTTCAAGATGAAGCGGTTACTCCTTTTATCATTCTGAATTTTAAATATAACTCTATTATGCATATGTTATGATTATAAATATTTGTTATATTTTGTAATAATTATTGACTTCTATTTTGAAATATAATTATAGGGCAACAAAGTTCAATGATATTGAACTACTTGATGAAAGGCTCAAGCTAAACTTCACATATATTATCTCTAATGCATTAGTCTCTTGTGCCCAATGAATTTTTCAATGTCCCAAATGAGAGATATAGGTTTGTTTGGTCAATTAATAGGAAAACTCTTATACAAGATGTCGATGATGATCAACAATTGGATTTGCAACCCTGTTCTGACATTGATACAAAATCATTTGGACAATTGCATGCCTACAAATCTAAAAGATAAGCAATCAGAGAGTTTTGATTCTTTCCATGTATTTATATTTGGAACATATTGTGTCAATCTAATTATAATATTATTTGTAGATATCATTGGAGTTGTGATTTCTAAACTACCAAGAGAATTTATTGTCACCAACAGGACATAACAACAAAAAGTTAATGATTTTGTGATTGTTGATGAAGAGTATGTTTATTGAATTTGTTTAAATTTGATTTGAAAGTTTTTAATTGTCTATTATAGCTTGGAAGGAAGCATGATTAATTTTATACTTCATTTTATGTTTTCTTGCATTATGTACCAACAACGAATAAAATATTATTGTCAACTAAGCTTGTCATGATCTATTTATAAATTCTTTATTAATTTCTTTATAAATTCCTTATTAATTTCCTAGGCTTAAACCTATCATTTTCACAATGTGGGGAAATTTTACGGTTTATCAAGGGGTTGAAATTGACAAAGAACTCCAATCAGGAGATTATCCAGTTGTACTTAGAAAAAGGATTACTGTCACCCCATATCAAGGTTTGTATGCAATCTTAATATTCATTTCGATAAATTAATTATGAAAGAGTGAGTATGAATACCATGATCAAGTATTAAATGTGGTTGTTAGAAATGGTGAATTTTTGCAGCATGAATAATTTTCTTATAAATTAATTGCAATTCATATTTTTATGCTGCAAAAATATATGCGCAATATTGGTTTAAAGGTTTTGTAATTTCAATATTAATTTTAGCTTGTTTATAGTTATCTACTATACTAATAAGAGCCCAAGAGAGTTAGGCCTATAATGGGTAGAAAAAATGGTGGTCAATTTTTTTTAATCAAATGAATGGCTCAGATTGATTATATTTTAATTTTTCTTTAAGATTTCCTAATTTATCCTTAATGAATATGATTATCCGTTAACTTTTCCGTTAAATATTATCTTCTCCGTTAATTTCTGTTAGTTCACCGTTAACTTACTCATTGATTTCAATAAGAAAGGTCTTAGGTTCAAATCCCATCACAATCAAAGTTGGTATAAGTAGTACTCTATTTTACTCTTATTAAATTAAAAATAATAATTTAGTAGCTACAACAAAAAATAATACATATGCATTTCTTTAATTTAGAATTATGTGTCTACAATGTCTTTATTCAAAAAAAGTTATTCATTATCAATAAAATTAAATAAGAGAAATAATTTCATTAGTTATATTGTATTTATTTTTTTCCAATATAAAAATTCTTTACATTCAAATTCATCAATTGATTATATTCGCTACATTGTCCCTACAATGTCGTTATTAAAAAAAATTATTCATTATCAATAAATTAATTAAGAAAAATAATTTTATTAGTTATATTGTCTTTATATTTCTCCAATGTAAAAATTCTTTTCATTCAAATTCATCAATTGATTATATTCACTACATTGTCTATTATCTTTTTTATGCACTATTTTTAATTAAATATCAAAGTTATAATACAAAATAATGCTATATATTTATTTACCAAGTATTTTATTAATACCATGAGAAAATAAAAAAAAAATATAATTAATAAAGCCAATCATATTAACTACTTGAGGGATTTGTTGACAAAGAGAGTATTCAAATCACACAACAAATTGAAGTGAGAACTACCTCGCAATATCCTTGTTTGACAATCAGCAGTTAGCGGATTATATTAGCGAATTTGACCAGCGAATTATATCAACGGTTGGTAAAAAGATATTTGAAAAAAGCTGTTTAGATTAACATGTAAAATGACTCGTATTTGCAATTGGTTTCAATCATACCTATACAATTATTTTATTGACAATTATAATAAATATTGACTACATTATCTTGCATTTGTAAACTTAAAATTGCCTATTTAATTATGTAAATTTAACATTCAATAATCTATGCATGAACAATTCCAATATAATATTGCATTGATATATACTTTAAAATACTTATTTAAAAAAAACATTGGGCATTATCCCAATCGCGCAATGCGCGCAAAAAACTAGTTATTATAATAAGAGTCCAACTTGTATTCCATATTTCTATGTTTGTGCCGCACCCTTGCCTAGACTTATTTATACTGTAATATGTTGGAGAGAACTATGAACATTGAAATAAGATGTACTGAGTACTGAGTACTATGTAGTTAAGTATTGTATCCATGTGAGGACTTTAAAGTCAGTTATGGATACCGCATTCTAGATGTTCTATTGTGTTATACGGAGTTAAATTTTTTATGTAGTAGTCAAGCCTTTTATGCTCATTTCTTTAACTAAAAATAAATCGCCTTATTAAACCATGCAAGCCATAAATTTCATCATTCTAACTCAAATGCAAAATAAATCGCCTTATTAAACCATGCAAGCCATAAATTTCATCATTCTAACTCAAATGCTGCCGATAGGATGAAAGGAGGTACTTGTCATTTTCCTTATCAAGTGTGTTTAATATGTTCAATAGGAATTTCCTTATCTACAAGATCTGATTCTGGTGTAGAAGTGGATCCGTTGGCAAACGTGCCAAGACTCTTAAAGAATGGTAACCTAATTTCATCTTTTGTCATTCAAACGTTCTTTGTTCCACATGCTAAATGGTTCTATGTTGTTGATAGGGCGAAGGCTAATTCTTTGGTTATTCAAAGATTAATTGTTGAAAAAGCACATAACAATGCTATTAGTGAATTGACAAGCCCTCTAGATCAACAAATATCACCAATTTCAAATTTAAAAAAGTCGTTTGAGCATGTTTCTCACTAATGTTAGACCCTTTTATTGTTTACATTTTCTTTTTAACTTCTTTTTCTCACTTTTATTTTGTTTTTTTATGCATATGTTCAAAATTAAGTCAAAAGGAGTCTGGGTTAAATCAAAGATCACACTCATAGACAACGAAAATCCTACCTACTGCATTGGTTGCAACTATTATGATAAGAAAATTAATTGTAATGAGGGTATTAAATTTCGATGCATGTTTTGTGGTCATGCAAATGCAATTTCTATCAAGAGGTAAATCATAACTCTTCAACGTACATGTACACATCCTTATAGTATTATATATATATCATAGTAATCATTAGGATTTTTTTTTTTACAGATATAGATTAATTGTTAAGCTATTTGATGTGACATATAGAATTGAAGCAACAATGTTTAATCGTCATGTGTATAAGTTATTTTCTTTAACAGAAAGAGAGAATGGAAATGATGACTTTGATTTTCAAAAGCTCCAAAAAAAACTTGATACACCCACTTTTGCAGTTGAGCTTAGGTGTTAACAACAAGACTCGGGAGGAATGACAACGACTTACGCAGTTGCATCTATTTGTGAACATATATCAACTTCATCAATTACCGGTACTAAAAAAAACTTGCCTTTGGAGAATCTAGCACTCTGGTGGACGATTCAACAAATTTACTCCCCTCAAATGTTGACAATCACAATGTGAGAGAAAAACGTCCCAGACTTGAGTGATATTGTGATTTTTAATTATGAAGTCTTTATGATACTTTTCTGCTATTACAATAATCCATGACTCATGTGTCTATATAGACATGAATAAAAGTTATTGATTTTGAGTTGTATGTTATATCAAGTAATAATTTTTATAATAGTTAGTTATGTTGTTGGTTGTAATCAATAATAATTTCACTACAAAATGACTGAAGAAATTACCAATTCAAAATGATTTACTAATTGAGTTAAAATATTAGGCACAAGTTTTCGCGCAAAACGCGTAGAAAAAACTAGTGTGTATATATATATATATATATATATATATATATATATATATATATATATATATATAGCAAATAATTAGAGTTAATTACCTTTTTTGTCCTAGACTTATAGTAGCATGGACAATTTTAGTCATCCATAAAAAATATTGCCGCATTTTTTGACAGACTTATTGCGACGAGGACAATTTTGGTCCTCCGTCTAAATTTTCGTTTGTGGATCGTCTAAATGAGGGGCATTTCTGTCATTCAATATGGTGACAGATGAAAAGAGCTCGTAGACGTGCTGGCGATCCCAAAAGAGACTATTGGGTTCATAGAGGCGCCGATGAAAGTGCTGCCGGCGAGAATGTTGGCTCTCACGATGAAACCAATGGCGATTGGTGCAATTGTGCCCAGATCTCCCTTCTTTGGGTCCACGACAGTGGCGTAGACAGTGTACACTAGGTCGAAGGTCATCACAGTTGCTGATGGGCGCTGCTGCTCGTGGACGAGGGAGAGAAAGAAAGAGCGAAGACTAGAGGCGCTGTAACTCTTTCTAATATGTTTATGGAGAAACATTCGCAATCTGCCCATGTTGTGATCTGCTTAGGAAAGAGATTTATCCCAGAGGCTGTGCTCCGTTAATTTCCCAGTCGCAATCCACTTTCCCCTAAGCACCCGTCACACGACAAGAAAGCGCCTTTGAATAAATTCCAGAGGTCATTCCTACTGACATGTGTTTACTCTTTTTGTTTTCGCAATATCTAGCCCTATTGGGGTAGGAATCGGAATCGCCATTAATGCCACCACCGAGGATCTCACTTTCACCATCAGAAACTCCATCATCATCTTCACTACGACGTCACCATCGTTGCTGCTCGTCGGAAAAACATCATCATCAACCTCGTTGGTCAAGCTTATCCAACGATCTTCTAAAATATGTTGTCTTCACTCCCGGGCCACGGGTTGACTCAGCCACTATTGGTCTCCTTGTTGTTGCCATTGTTCATTGCACGCCAACCACCTGCTGCTCATCACCGTTGCTACTGGATCTCCTTGATGCTGTCGTTGTTCACAGCCGCAACCGCCACAGTTGCCACCGACTACTAACGCCGGAGACCTCCACTCCCGCTACTACCACCGCCTCCACATCCGCAACCGCCACAACTGTTAACAACCCGAAAATTTTTCCTTCAAATTAAACCTATTTTACAAAATCTAGTCAAAATCTTTTTCAATATTTTGTTCCTAAGATGACTAGTGACTAGTATAAATAAAATATTTATTTAAAAACCCTTATGTTGAATGACTTAATACAAAAGTTTATTTATATATTTAAGTTTTCAAAACTCAATTTGGAAGAAATATTCTTTTATTTTTTTTTTTTTTTTGGTGGATAGAAATATTCTTTTATAAAAAGTCAACCCAAAAGGCAATCTGAGAGGAACCTGTGAACCTGATAGTTATGTTTTCTCCTAAAACTTGATTTCAAAATGAACCAAGCACACTTCTATATTTATTATATTGTATTATAGCCCGAATTTAACCCAACTTTTGACCTAAAATTATAACCCAAAGTTCAAAACCCAAACTCCCTAAAATGCCCCTCATTTGTCATTACTTTCTCTGATGCAAGACCTGGGGCTTTGTGCCCTAGGTATAAATACTCACTAATCCCTCCTCACTTTACATTCCCATTCTCCTGAGAAGCTAAGAAAACAAGAAGCAATATTGTATGTATTTCTTTGGTTGCTTGGTTATGGGGGTCTAGGAGGTGGAGAAGGCTGTCATCCTTGAAGCTTAGGGAGGGATTCTTGCTTTTGGAGCATCAAGCTTGAGGTATAACCCATGTATACCCAAAAATATATTATTTTACCCTATGTGTCTATTAAATGTGTATTTGAGGTTGTTGATGATGTGTGAGCCTTAGAAATGGTTATAATCTTGAGTTTGATGTGTGAAATGTGTTGGGGAATATTGTGTTGTTGATATTTTGCTGTGGTGGTGTGATTTGGGAGCTGTGACAGGTCTGGAAGCAGGTTGAAATGCTTGGAGGTGAAATAGAGGAGAAAGGCGAGGCTACTATCTCGCTTAACCCCAAAGGCGTGCGGGACTAGCCGCGGGCCTGGGAAAGCCCGTCGGCCAGCCCCGCGTGCCCAGTAGCAGGGCGCGGTGGCAGGCCCTCACGGCCTCCCACCCATACTTGGGCTGCTGCAGTTGGCGCGCCCTACTGTCCAGCCCGCACGGCTAAAAGGGCCTTACAGCAGAACCTCGTGTTTTGCTACGAGTCCAACTACTTGTTGTTTTGCGGGTCTATGTGGCTCGTGGGAGTCGGGGACTTGTTCTAAATGTCATTATGTGTTACATGCTACGTGTACAAAATTATTTTCCATCAAAAGCATGATTTATCCACTTACTTAATGTTTGAACCAACCTTGAAATTATTATAAGTGTTGAGTATGATCCTTGGTTTGCATTATGACTTGGTATGCTTTAAGTGAGTTCGTAAGTGTAGCCCGAGCATGTATGACTTGTCGAAGTACGTGGATAATAGTATGAAGTGATTCACATCTACATAAGTTTGTATTGTTTTAAATAAACTTTATGTTCCAAATACATATCCTTTTTCCCTTATTTTCTCAAAGCTATACTTACTATCTATTCTTAGTATATATGTCCTTAATTTTCGAGCATATTCTAGTTTTATGTGTCTTTGGGACTTTAGAACCTATTTTTGAACAAGCTATTTGGGACCTATCTTGGGTCATATTAAAGTATGGATCCCACCATTTTGATTGATATTTAAATAATAATTGTAGCACTTTTATTTGATTATAACATGTTTATTAAGTTTTAATTATTACTAACCACCATATTTTGGTATTCATCGTTGGTAATAATATTAAGTTTTGGGTCTACTTCAGTATTAGACCATTTTTTATTCATGTTATAATTCACTTGGGTCATTGAAGGTTATGTGCCTAATTTGAGTGATTAAGTGCTATAATTATTGTTTTGGCATGTTTAGAGACATTAAGGATTTAATTGTTATTTTGACCATTAAGAACTATAACTATTGTTTAAGTTGATTAAATTTTTAATCTATCAGTAGTTTTTCAGGGCCTTAATAAAAATATTAAGTCTTTAATTTTATGGCAACAACAATATAGTTGGTATATTGTTTGTATAATGGTAAATTGATTATTACCTTAACTTCAGTCTCCATTAGTATCATAATAGTCATGGTAAATTATTATGTGGTAAATTGAGATTAGTATTTGGCATCCCTTAATTACAGTTTTGCCTTTATTGTAGTTATTATTAATTAGCATTATTAATTATTGTTATTAAGTTTAGGGGCTAATCTCATTTTATTACTTTTTCATAATAATTATCATTTCATAGTAATCTGCTATATTTGGTACATTGGCATGATTACCACTTCATTTTACATGACTATTAATGTTGGTAATTAAGTCCTACCAATAAATTTTTTAAATGTACCATTGGACACTGCATCGAGGCTACTGACACAGACAGTGAGGATGGGAGAATTCTGGAGTTTTTTCTTCTCTTGTGGATCATCATCGTTGTTAGCGCAATGGGGAGATGCGGTTTGCATCATTAAGGTTAGCCATTAATTATCTTTTATGCTTATTGTTGATAATTTGTGCTACAGTTACAGTTAACCGCTAATTTGGACTAGTCACATATTTTATCTTTAGAAAATGGAAACATTAAAAGTGCATTACCATACTTTAGTTTGTCATTACTAATGTTAATAGTGATTTTAATGTTACTTATTGCTATTAATAATTAATTAATGATAACAGTAATATTGTTATGGTATTCAGATATGCATCTTAAACTGTTTCCAAATAAATTTATGTGACAATACTTCAGTTCAGAAAATAATTTTCTGGACATTAATATTTTTCGGACTTCAAATTTTATTAAGTTTTCAAAATTTTATCCGAAAACGTTTATAAATGTTAGCGGTTTTAACCACTGTTTTTCCATATTTAGTCTCCTACTTAATGTGATAATATTATTATGGCTATTTATTGCTATTTTGGTTATTTGCAATTTTGTCATTAATAATAATAATAATAATAATATTATTATTAACTGAGTTATGGAGAGTGATTTTGAATCAATTTAGTAATTTTGGAAAAACATGTTTGCTAGGCAATTGACTTTTGCCATTAATTCCATAATGCATTTAGTTCTTGGAATTATGATTTTAGTTCTGATTGCCCATGTTTGGTTAAGTATGAATATTTGGTATAAATTCATATTCTTTAGTTGGTTCATACTTTCTAGATTGTTTTATGCATTCAATCACATTAAGTGCATAATATTAAGTTTAATTATGCAATTAGGGTTTGTGAGATTTTGATTTACAAATG